CCCCAAAACCCCAAAACCCCAAAACCCCTATAAGCTAAGATATGGCTGAAAGCTATTCACTATATTCCTTAAGCAATTTCATGATGTCCTTGATGTATGAGTTGTCCTTTCCTGCAACGAAGGTCATATGGCCATAATCGTATTCTTTGTGGAACCTTCATGCGCTTCCTAATTCGGTTTTTGTCCATTCTCAGTCTTCAGGGGAGGCGAGCATATCGTTTTTGCCTGTAAGAAGAGCAATTGGGATATCTAAGAATTAGGATATGAGTTACTTGATTCTTGAACTTTAGAGAGATTGTAAAGTGGAGGTTCTTCTTTTCCATAAATTTTTAAGTTCTTTTCTCTTCCATAATCAAACTTTTCAAATCTTCCACTTTTGATTATCTGACTCCAATGCTTTACAGCCTTGAAAGAGGTTCCATTAGGATGGCTATACCAGAGAATTTGGCAGGAATCCAAGTTGTTTGACTATAATTAAGCAACAGGTATTACAGCTGGATTCGAGTCATTAACCTTCTTCATTGATCTTATCATTATTGGAGGACACACTTTTGTTAATCAGCACCAAGCTGAGTTAATAATCGGATTTGGAGGATCCATTCTATGCTTCTTTAGCATGCTCACTATTTTCTGGATAAAATCACTTTTTCACATCTTTTGGAGACCCTTTGCTTTGGTTAATTTCATCCTTGTGGCAGGGGCAACAGCAACCGCTACATTGTTTAAATAAGAATATAAGAAAGAGTACCAAGACTGAGTTTATCTTCAAACCATTTCGGATCTTCTGACAATGCTGCAAGGATTATAGATCCTCCTTGAGAATGTCCAATAAAGCTGACTCTGTGCGATCTAAAATTATTTTACATGGTTACTTGTGATCATTGTTTTTCCTAATATGCTCAATAATAGCTTTCGAATCATACTTAGCCATTTCATCAAATGAGAAATTCCAAAACTCAGGGTCATTTTCAGGATCAAGATATTTATGAAGTTTACTGTATGCTCATCCTCTCGCATTTGCTACCCATACATCATATCCATTCTTCGCTAATACAAATGGAGAAGATTTTTCTTTGTTGGCCACCCAATCCAATGCTGAGGCTTGGGATCCATGATGAAAGTAAATTGGAGGTTGAGAACTCTGTTCTTCACTAGATTTCACTCTGAAAAGTTGTAGCACATATCCATCTTCAGTTGTAACAATGTGTTTCTCAGCGTCAAGGCCTACTTTTTTACATCTTTGTCCAAAGTTCATTTTTGCTTCTTCATCTATCAACACTTTCCCTGCATATTTACCCCCATAATATACAGAGAGAGGGAAGAGAATCCATTTGAGCATTTTGAAATATTTTTCAATGATTGGCTGAGATTTAGGGGTTTTGGGGTTTTGGGGTTTTGGGGTTTTGGGG